GAAACTCCCTGTGGTTGCGCACTTTTTTGGTGGAGGAGATGCGTGCGTGTCTGACAGGACCACCAGAGCGGTGACAAGATGCAGCGATGAGGACATGTGCGTCTCGGAGTTGAGAAGTTTGAGGGGGCATGGGAGGAATGTGTATATTATCTACGGTGTGGCGAAGGAGGGAACGCCGCCACCGAGACATTTTGCGCCTACTTCCGGATGGGGCATGATTGCGGTGTCATTCCCAAAGGTAGCCAACTATGGTGAGTGGGCGAAGCAACTGCAAGCCAGTCGAATCATCGTGAGTTGCCTCGACGAGATGGATGTGAAGGCGATGTGCGCCTGGATAACGCGTGGTGAGACCAAAGAGAAACAAGCGGAATGCTGGAAAGAGGTCAAAAAACACATGTATCTTTTGGGATCGATTCCACGTCACGTCTTTGATGAGGAGGCGTTTAGGGAACGCTGTGGAGCGGTGAAGTTTGCATTGCAATCGATCAACGAGGTAACTGCGAAAGAGCACTTTTCACGGGGAGGTGAGTCGCCATGGTATTCTGAGGATCCGTCCCACAAGCCTGTGAAGGTTGTTCGGGAAATATACGCAGGCGGTGTGACCCTTTTCAATGCACCGATATCTGCTTGCCTCGAGGAACGGACATTGGAACGCCTCCCAAGTGTAGCAGAATAAAATAGCTTTTTGAGGCTGATGTTGGCGTCGAAGGATAATATTTTGCCCATATTTTTTGGATGGTTTGCTTTGGAATCGTTCACGGAGAGTGCCTTTGCCAAGGCAATAGCGACGAAACTCACGGAGTTTGAGCCGCCAACAGGACGTCAAGCAAAGCCCTGCGTCTTGAAGTTGGCCCTGAATTGCATCCCAAGGGAGATGAAGGTTTGCTGCCGAGTGAATATGAAAAAACGATTCGTAAAGTACGGGGTGCTGCACAAACCGTGGGCCACAAACTTTTCGCTGGTGGATTCCTTTTTTTCTCAGAGTCTAATCCAATGACGGTGGTTGGGCTGCGGATGGCTACGGCGGGTGGGCACCACACGATAACCAGCACTGTGAGGCCGTTCACTGAGTGCCTGGCGGCGTATTTTAATGACTGGGAGGAATTTTCCCGAGACATGTCGTGGGAGATTATTTGTGTGCAGCAGGCAGGCAGCATGCCGATGAATGGCTGGCGGAGATGTGATGTTGTCAATACCGATAATGTGAGCGACGAGAGCCGTGAGAATTCGGCGTTCCGGGAGGAAGAGGTGCGCCAGTACCAGGTGTCAATATCGTACAGAGGCTTTAGAAGAGAAGAAGCCCTCCGAAGTGTGCAAAAAAAATAAAATAATAGGAAAATAGATTAGGAAATTGAAGGTGAACAAGACAGTTTGATTTGTGGTAAAGAATGATGTGGGATTTATGTATTTTTGGATACTTGTGTCTGAGCATGCGGTGCGGGTGCACCATCCCCATGCGGCAGCACCGCACACAAATGCCAAAATGTCCAACGCTATCGAACTTAACAGTGACAAAAGAAATTAGGGAGGGAAAGGGGTTGTTTGGCTTCTGGTGAAAAACATTGGGTGATTTTTATATAGTATGTTGATTGTGTGTGCATACGAGGCATAATTGGAGAATTGCCCCGGTATGAGAAAATAATTGTCACCAGCGGTGTCACGGCGTTACCGCATTGTTCATTTTCTTCTATTGTGTTCGAAGGCCCATCACTAACAGAGGCGGTTTTAAGGGATGGACGACGCATAGGTTGTATTGAGGAAACAGTGTGCTCCGTGTGACCGCGTGGGGTGAGGCACCGCGTCATGGCTGGGTGAGGATCCGTTTCCGCGTGTGGCTCTTTGGGTGATTGCTCGCTCCGTGTGCGTTGTGTGTTGGCTGCGGGGTTGTGGCCGTATCCCGTATTGCCGGGAGAATCCAGGAGCCAGCAATGTTTCCCTCACGGGGTTGTTTTTGTGTTGGCGCAATGCAGACGGCATCTACCGGCATCCGGACCAGCCGCGTCGTGCCGGGACACAGTTGTGGCACCACGAGGTATGAGGGCACGTGCTACCGCAGTGCGGGCATTACGATTTATTTGGGAAAGCACGAGGGAGGACAACAGAGGCACAACTGTGCGTGCTGCAGCAAGTCGGCACTGATGCTCTTTTACTTTGTCGGCACTGGAAACTGAGAGGGTGTGCCCTGCGCCTGTTGCCTGCGCTCTCATAACCACTTTTTGAATGGAGCGTGTTGTTTTTTCTTTGAAGCGGGCTTCGTGTGTCAGCGCGACAGGGGAACACGGTTGGCGGTGGCAGGAGTTCTTTCCGGAACGGCACTGGAGTGTAGGGTTCCCAGAGTCGGTCTCTCGCCGAGGTGGGGACGGTGCTCAGGGATTGCCCCGAGGCTGCTTCTCAATGCCGTTGTTGTTGTTGACGGCAAATCGCTGATGGGAGGGAGAGAGTGTGCGTGCCGCCGTGTGATTTCTCACAGCGGCACTCGTTGGAGCGCTGCATGTGTGTTTGCCTTGCGGATGTGGTGTTTTGGATTCTTATTTCACGCTATTTGGTGCCGCAGAAGTGGACGGGGAAGTGATGCTGTCACGAGCTGCACGGGCGTGGTGGAAACGGTTACGCGAGTCTGTGAAGGACCCGATCAAATCAAAAGTGTACCATGCGGTTTGGGTCTACAAGGAAGGAAGAAACAGTGGGCGGCTGAGGGGAGTTGCAATGCACGCGGCGGCAGAAGATGGCATGCGTTGCTGAGTTCACGTTGACTGCCACTTTGGGTGCTTTTTCTCGAGGCCGTGAATTCTTCCTAATTTACTTGGAGGTGCTTGATGACGCCGGTTGTGGAAGGCATTTTCATTTCATACGAGGATGGCACACGGGAGACAAGGAAGAAAAACAGCGACGCCTCGCCAAAGGAGCGGCTGCTGGAACGTTGACGAGACTCGGGATTGTCTGCACGGCCAGCTGTATGCCCTCGGCAGGATGTTCCTTGAGGCGTTCATTGGCCCAAGTGTGAGGTGCACGCACGGGCAGGCACCGCAACAACCGTGTCGTTGGTTCTCCGTTGGACGAATGAGAAGGCGCATGTCAGGCGTCGCAGGTGACGTCCCCTGCGAACCTCTTCTGTTTCACACCTTGGCATATTCTGCGCTGTGGACACCGCTCCCATTGGCCGTCTTCTGTGACACGAGAGCCGCCTGTATTCCTCTCCATCGCATTGCAGAGTTGTGAGGAGGGTTGGAAGGTGCGTTGAGGAGCCGTGTGGCCTCTGCGAGCATTTCCACTGTTTTTCTGAGGTGCTGAATTTTGGATTACCGAAACGCCACTTGAGTGCCTGCGTCAGAGGCAAACATAACTGAGGGACAGGCGTGTTTGTGGAGGTGCAGGAGGGCCGCACCATTGGGAGGAGGAAGAGTGAATGGGCGGGTGGGTGGTGTCTGTGGCCCACATGTGGTGCCCGACTGGCGCTTCACTTTGTTTGGTGCTATTATCATTCGCATCCACAAAGAATGGCATTGGGCGCTGCTTTTCCCAACTCTCTTACTGTGTCTGTGTGTTGCGTGATTGGGGGCATGACTCTTCTTCCGTGCTGTGCATTTGCCGCGTAAGCTGTCGATGGTCTGTGTGGAATATGCGATGATTTGCGGCATTTTGTTGGATTGTGCTTTGATGTTTGCGGCGGGGTGACAGTCAGACTGGACGCGTTGCTTTTTTTTTATTGTGATCACGTGCGGTGTGTATGGGAGGCCTCTCAGAGAAGCGCCAGCCGACATTCTTGCAAAGCCCAGGCATGATGCCACACTCCTCATTGACGTGGAATGAGTTGGCGTTTTGCATGCAATCTTCTGCGCATTCTTGCCGTGGTGCTCCTCATGCATGGCCCATGGAGACGACTGGTTGAGAATTGTCAATGGGCTTCTCGTTGAGTCGAGGGGAGCATAGCGTTTTGCTCGCTCACTGAGAGCCCGGGGGTCACGGATGATGCATGGGGCAGGCAGAACCTCGTGCATGGCGGAAGAAGGAGACGAAGGGCTGATTGTTTGATTGTTAGTGACGAGTCCTGCCTCACTGCCTGGCGGGGGCTGTTGTTGACTGGGACAACCTGTTCTGTGTGTCCAGACACTGCTTGCGCCGAGTGGCGTGGTGCCGTGTTGGTGTGCGCGGCTCCATCGTGCGGGGCGGCTGCGTGACGTTTACGGACTGCGTGTCTGTGAGCTGATGCATGTGGCGGGAGGCGTGTCTGAGGGGAATCCGCAAAAGAAGGAGTGGCATGCGTTTGGCGGTGCTGCTGTGCGATGTGCAAGGGAAGAAGAAAAACAAGTGATTTCTGACGCGTCTGTGGGTGTGCCACGGCCACCGATGAGTTCTCAGGGAGAGGGAAAGGCGGGAGTGAGACGGAGACTGTGCACATCCACTGCGGCGTGTGGTGCCACCGGATGCAATTTCCATTGTGAAGGGTGCAACGGCCGCCATGCGTGCAGCAGAGCGTAATCTGCAACTTTTTGCCTGCAGAGTCTGTAGGTGCTGCGAGGAGGTGCAGGCGACCTCTCATCATTGGGCTGCTGAGGCCGTTTTTCCTCTCTGCTCAGCGGGAGAAGCAACTCTTCGTGCACGTGATGTGCTGTTCTGCATCGATGTTCCCAACGGGTTGTCGCGCCGCCGTGCCGTTGCAGTGCAACTCTCTTTTTCCTCACTGCACACGTGGCCCTGTCATTTGTCTTATTTGCAGGGCCATGGCCTGCGGCCCCCAACTGGGAGGCTGCTTGCTTTTTAAATACTTTACATTTATTTATGTTGTTGAGAGGTGCTGGAGAATAATGGCTGCGGGGGCGCTGATGTTGTGCTTTGCTTTGAGTGGTTCAGGTGTGTACTGCTGTTGTACTGCCTTTCTTCCGCTGTTGCCTGTTGCTTTCCTCCAAGAAGGAAAATAAACGCGAATCGCTACTGTGAAATTCGAAGGCTCTGAAAGTTCCAACAACACACGCACACACACCGTCCACACGCGTATTTACATGCTCTCACGTGTTGCTGCAGTCATGGCGCCCCGCACACACAACCGTTGCCGCGTGACCGGATCCAGGGGCAGGAGGAGGGAAGGAAGAGAGAGTGAGCCGCAGAGGCCCAACATGCCCCGGCGTGTGTTTACTTCCGCTGTGCTGCTCCTTCTCGTGATGACGTGCTGCACTGGTGAAGCTGCTGCCGCCGGGGGCGGTAAGTCAAGTATTGCCATTAATCCATTTACAGGGACGACAAGGATAGATGCTAATTGGATGGAGTTTAACGAGACCGGAAGCAAAATCACCTCGATCCGTGTTCCTGGCCTCGTTAAAGTGGGTGATGATGTATTTGCTGTTGCTGAAGCGCAGTGCGGGGAAGGGAATGGAGCTGGCAGCTGTGCTGGGATTGTGTCAAAGCACCTGAATATAAGTGATGACTCAATGGATATTTCGACGTCGGATATAAGTTTGTTTCGCATGCAACTTGGGGACACTGTTGCGAATAATTTTGGGACAACAGGAGTGTTGCGACCAACGACGCTTGTACAGGGGACAGTGTCTACATGC